TCTATTCATGATGAAATGTCAAAGCATACTGAGCATCTTTCTCTTTGACACCATGTCTGAAATCCCACGTGATCTGTCAAATACTAATGCATGAAAATCCTAACCTCAAAAAAATCACCCGTTACAACATAAATCGCCAAAAAATTACATATTTTTTCCGGAAAGCAAAAATATAAATAAAAACAAATTAAAGCAAAGTAATGGTATTAGTAATTTTTATTTTTAACTTTAGCCCCATTATTGTTTGCATGAGGGCATCATGCTTTAGTATACAGGCTATTCAAAATTCTGATATGTATGTACACAGATATCGACGCCTCCAAACCATACTATGCTAAAGAGCGTGTCAGACGTGGCAATATATTTTCGGCTGTCAAATTGAGAAAGCAGTTGCATGAGCAGTCACACCTTGCATGCGAAGTGTATTTCGAAGGAGGTTTTTTATTTCCGAAAGGCGAATTGCAGGAAAAATTTCTGCAATCGCTTTCTGGCTGTTCACACAGCGAATGAGTTTCTGGCAATCTTTCTCGATACTAAAATGCAACCATGGGCGGTGGTCTTGTCGTTTGTTTGCTATTTCTCTTGTAAAAGCGAGAACGAAAACACGAAAAATGAATAGTCGACGTAAGCTGGTGTTGAAAAAGAAAGCAATTTTATTAAAAATTATTGCCGTTATTATTAAAAAAAAATAGAAGTGGATGATTCGCGTACTCGCCGATCTGTTTGTGTAAGAAAATTTTGGCGGCGCGGAGCAAACAACCCATACTACACAACGTTGAAGAATGAGCATTACCCCATGGTGAAATTATAAATAGCTGGATACTCTTATAATTCAAGCCAGCACCAACAATGCTCGCAAATCCCACACTCAATCAAAACAACATAAGCCCAAAAAAGCAAAACCCTAAAATATAGGTTATAATTAACATATTTTCCATGTGAACAATAATTTAAAGATTTAGTATATTAGGTAAAATAATATATTTCAAGCATTTTTGATATTTAGTTTAACAATATTTTTCATCATTTTACACAAATTTACGATATCAGTGCCACACGCCAACCTCGATTAGTTTGACAGCACTTGCAGAAGAAATAAAAATTGCTAGTGCAGCACGAGCAAGTTGAAATATATTTCGGAAATCGATTTTTGCTCTTTCAGTTGCAGTCAACCCTAGCAACTTTTATTGCTGAAACTGATTTCCGAAAAGTGACAGAAAGATCTCTTTGGCTGTTCACACATCGAAATAAAATTTCTCGTTCTTAATTTGACAGCGAATTGCGTGCGAAAGACGGAAATATTGCCACGTCTGACAGGCTCTTAAGTCTACCTAAGTGCAAGTTGACTCGTCATGGTATGGTTTGGAGGCATCGATATGCACATATAGTATGTTTGTTCGTGTTTACTTACCTAAAATAGGTTTTTTTTGTTCAAGCAACTCGCAATAACTATATGCTAAGAGATTAACAGGTCGTTGGGAATTAAAATTAACACAATGGACTAGACGCTCGCAAGTTTTCATCAGAAAAGAACTAAATTCACCGGGATCGATTCCGTAATTGCGCCAACCGCCGACGCCGTCAGCTACACCTGTAATTCAGAAAAACAAAACACAAAATTCTGTTAGATTATATATATATGTATGTATGTGTTGGGGCATTCAATCCCGAAGCATTTTAACTATCCCGGGATTTCGGTATTCAAAAATACTAATCTCGGGATCCCGAAATTTTTGGGGATTTCGACTTCATCACTACTTGTTGCATTTTACAGTAGGTTCGCCCTTGTCAAACCACACAGATTCATTGTCACCACATTTGGTGTTAGGGAAGCATAATTCCCCTTAGTAAAAGAGTACGTAATTTGATGTTTAAATATTTTTATTCTATTCTTGTTAAAAATATTTACTCATATTTGCAGAAATCCTTTCCCAACAAAAGGCCAACAAAGTAAAATGAAAAAGAATTCTGCCACACTGTAAAAGCTTGTGTTTTCAATTGCTATCAGAATTTTCGTTATTGCACAGTTCTTGCACAAAATATTTGAACAAGTACAGTTATTCAGGCAGGTCCTGAAATTCACTTCCAAGTGCAAAGGGCTCAAGTTCACTTTGAATCCCAATTTTGGTGTTCTGTATTTCTCGTGTTTCGTGTCAAATTAATTATTTTTATCGTTTTCAACATCTCTTTCATTCTGTAAATTAATCAGTAAAAATATTGGGATCCCGGAGCTGTAATGCCGGGACTTCGGAACATGGAAATTGTTCGGGATACCGGAATCCCAATTGGAAAAATGTGCTGTAGTCTGATGAGACAAAAAGTAGTGTTTGGATCAGATGGAAAATAGTACGTAAAACGTCCTACGAACACAGCCTTTGATCCACATTACACGAAAAAACGGTTAAGCACAGCAGCGATTCCATTATGGTATAGGGCTGCTTCCCGAAGGAAGGAGTTGGTCCAATATTTTGGATAAAGACCAAATGTGCGCGCTTGACTATGTAAACATATTACAGACGACAATGCTCTCTGCAGGATTATGATAAGAAGAAGGAAACAGTGCAGGCTATGGAGTGGCCGCCTCAATCGCCAAACCTCAGCCCCATTGAGCACCTTTGGGCAGTGGTATTCTATTCCGAAGTGTTTGTGCAAACTTCGTCAATAAGATATTAAAAAAATAATATTTTTGTAAGAATTTTTGGGTCAAAGTTTAATATATAAATGTTTTCAAATTGAGTTGCATACTTATTTTAAATTATGTGTACGACGAACTTTTTTTCTGGTGCAACCTAATGTACATATATAAACATCGCTCATTTACTTCAACCTCGTCATAATACAAAACACAAATTACCGCTACCTCTTCTTCTAGGTTGTGTAAAAATTTCATAGCTGTATCGTTTATGTACCAGTATACCACTAAAACGAAAATTGTAGATATACTTATGTATGTACATTCATATCACACACCGTCTTCAAAACAGGCATATCTCGAGATTTGCCATTTTAGAAATTTTGCGCTAAAAATGTACACAAAGCCTTTATATACCCTTCAAAACCTTAAAGCCGTTTATCTCGGGTGCTGCCAAGGCGAATTTATCCTTGGGTGCTGCTTTTGGAGTTGTCACTATTGAAGTAAATGAGCGATATGTATCTACATACGTTAGTGAAACTAGAGACATGTTTCTTTGATGAATTTCCCATACTTATTTACACATGTGAAACAAATGGTCACAGCGTCGTTGAAGTACCAAAGATCTTTAGCATCCTACCTACCTACTTCAGGATAAATATAAACGGGCAATTCATGTTGCACTAACATACATACATGCGCTCACTTGAAATCGCTCTTCTTAAAATTAAAGTTAAATTCCTACAACATGTAATGCTGTTAGAGTCGAACTTGAAATTTTGAATAAAATAAGATTTTAATCTGGGTCATTTACATTATATCGCTCGTCGAATCTCCTATATTCCAAAAGACTTGACTTTTTACTTACTTTAACGCAACAACGTTATAAATGTACATACATACATATGTATACATACATACCGAACCCTTAATTCACAGAGGCCCTAATCAATAATTTTTTTATTTTACCGGAGAAGCAAAAAACAATACAAAAAGAGTATTTTTCCATTGGAATTATAAAATCTATTATATTTTAAGATGTCCACCAAAATATTTCCGAAAAATTTTAAGATTTAAGTGAGCTGGACCGATTTGAAAATACCTCCAAAAATTTAGTTTTTCATGAATAAAAATAGTTTCTTAAAGATTTTTTTTTTTAAAATCTCCTCAAATGACAAAACGGTTTAAGGTTAAAAAAAAATTGCATGAAAATATTTTTAAAAAATTTAAAAAAATTTAAGCGGAATCGTAATGATGAGATTTTTGATGCTGTTTTTTAACTTTTTTCAAAGATTGGTATAAGAAAAACTTGAATAACTGAACCTTAAGCTCTTCCGATTTAGACTTAAGAGGTGTCATTGGAAAGGTATTTTCTCACCCTTTTTATTTCTTTGATAACGAACTCATTAAAAGGATGAAAGAGAAAGGTAGGATGAACGAACGTCATTCAAAGTTGAATTAAGATGTGTTGGTATTTGAAAAAAAAATAAAAAATTGGACACGAATGATTTTTTTTTGACAGAAATAAAAACAGTGTGAAAATACCTTTCTATCGGGATCCCATAAGTCTAAATAAGAATAGTTCTGGCCCAGTTATTCAAGTTTTTTGTAAATCAATCTTTGAAAAAAGTATAAGAAAATACAGCATCAAAAATCTCATTCTTACGATTCCGTTGAAAAGATTTTTAAATATTTTTATGCAGATTTTTTAATCTTAATCTGTTCTCTGTTCTTAATCTTGTCATCTGATGGGACTTTTTTTCAAAAAGTTCTTTAAGAAACTATTTTTATTCATAAAAAACTCCATGTTTGGAGGTATTTTCAAATCGGTCCAGCTCACTTAAATCTTAATATTTTTCCGAAATATTTTGGCGGACGTCTTAAAATATTATAAATTTTGTAATCCTGGCGGAAAACCCAACTTTTTTTTGGTGATCCAGTCTAATGTACATATGAATGTATGTAATCAAAACTACAATATTTATTTTCTAACAAATTAAAGCCTAGGTGCAATAGCATACCAAACACAAGTGTAAGAACATACATACATCGATATAGACGACTTCATGTGGTGACGTACATTGTAAGCTCGGTTTAACTGGAGCCAGACAGATAACAGACAAGCGAACATGCGTTTGGATGTCAGTGTTTAATCGACACTAACACAACAGGTACAAAGTGCACAAATTAATATTTTACGCGACATTTGAGAGAAATTTAATTGGTATTGAATCGAGGACTGTTCGTTGAGCTTAATAGACAGACCATTTCTATTATATTAATAATAATAAAGAAATTAGGTATTCGTTGCATTTAGAATGCGAATTTTTGTACACATTCATATACATAGGTTAAGGAGCTGCACTCTTAGAAATCGATAATGTGTACATATGTAAGTATATATGTGCATATGCACATGTATATCTGAACGATGAAATACGAATGGGCAGGGCAACATGCTTTATATTAATCTCGAATGTATATTTTAAAGTTATGTAATTATAAAATTGCTTACCTAGCACATCTGCGTTGGTGGTTGACGTCTTAAACCATGAATCTTCGCCGTATTTGCCTGGCTTGTATTTGGAAGTTAGAAAGTCTTTAGGAAAGCCACACACAACAGATACAAAGTGCGGGCGTTGTTTCGAGGCACTATTTACATTCGCTGTTGCATTGCTAGCTGTCTCTAGTAGCGTAGAGAAGCTACTACGTAACGCTCGCGAGATTACTCTCGTCGTCCAGCTCAATGAATGCATCAGAAAGCTCTTGTCTCCTTCGTAGCGCGTTTTACAGTAGTTTTAAGCGTAAACCGTGATTAAAAAGCTAGAATGGCTCAAATTTTCATATTGGGGATGATGCGAATCCTTAAATTATGTACTTAACGCGATATAGAAGTCCAAATGTATTTTTTTCCAAACTTCTACTTTGGTTTTATTTTTTCAAATTCCTTCTAATTAGCACCTTTCACAAAATATTCAATAGTTAAAAAGTTATCGGAATTGCATATGCGGAAAATGTAGGTCGATATCATTTCGTTTTAGTAATTCTTAAAAGTGGTGTTGGGATTTGTTGGTCCAAATTAGCATAAATCTATAGCAAGGATTAGAAAAAACTCCGTACAATTCTCCGCGCTGTTATTATCATTTATGTAACCCATTCGCCGTTATAGTGTCATGAACTAACATATCACATCTGGACAGAGCAATGATTTAGGAATTTCCCCATTTATTTTTAATAAACATTTAGCACTTCGATTTGACCCAGCTTTCAAGGATATACCCAAAAATGGAAGTTTTCCTTAACTACGCGTGAGACAAATTCGACAACCAAAAAAAAATCCACCCAGGGCGAACAAAATTCACTGGAAGGCAAGACAGGGTTGCTCATAAATCCAATGAAACATGTGACACATTTGGAAACACCAGGGGTGCACCTCTTACAAAAATAACAGGGGCCTTCATCAAATATGATACAACTGCTGATAAACTTGATAAAAGAATAAATTTATTAGTGGTATTCATCTAAAACGATAACTTTATCAAGCAGATAATCTTATAAGTTTTCGCACTCTGTTACATGAACGACCCACACTCTCTTTTCGTTTACACATGCGACAATAGTCGTTTTTTCTTTGGTTATAGAGCTCAGCATCACTAACCTTATACAACTATCACGAGGATAAAGAAATTATAGAAACTAACTCACTAAATGAGGAAAAATTATATTTACGAGATAATATCTATTTTAATAAATATACATATAACATAAAGGCTATTTATTTGAAGCAAGTTAAAACAAACAATGGCAGAATGTCTGTTTGTGTATGAATTCATTTGTCACAGCTACCTAACCTTGCGGCCAAATTATCAGTGAAACAAAACAAACAGAACGGATAATAATTGAACCAGTTCTCTATCAAGATCACATCGTTGTTGTTGAATTTGCGTGCAAAATTTTTATGCGTATCCGATTATTGCCAAAGAAAACATAGCTAGAGTTGCGACAGAGTTGCATTGACTTCAGTTTATCAAGTTTATTCAGTGAAATCGCTGGAGAAATTTATCAGAAATGTGTAAACGAGTTTCCATACAAATTTTGACAGTTCATTTATAAGGTTTACACAATTTTACACACGGTTTTAAATGCATTTATAAGGTTTGATGAATACCTTTAATAATAAAGTTTGTTTACATATAAATATAATCTCAATCAAAGCTCTTTTTTTATCACCCCGTTTACAGAGGCAAATCTCGCATTATTAGCCGTCAAATTTGTTGTACTTGTTATATCTCCTCTCTGTGCCACCGTGGTCACTTTTTTTTAGTGCACCGCCGTGGTTTAAACTCAGTTTAAACGCCCGATCTGGCTGCATTAAACTATGATCAGCCAATCAAATGTCAGCCAGCTGTTCAATTTAATCTCAGTTTACTTAAACTAAGTTTAAACTGGAGTTACCGAGACGAGATGAGAATTTGTTTATACGCCTGCACACGTTCTATTTAAACTTTTCCGTGATAAATAGTGGACCGAATATGCATCCGGAAACTCTAGTACTGTGTTTTTTAAGTAAGCACCAGCTAACATTTTTCTGCATTAAACTACACTAGCTTCTTATCTGGTGCCAATTAATTCAGCACATAAAATCAGCTGTTCCTTACCTCGACCCACGACAGTCGGGTCTACGTAACCGGAATGACCCAGATTTATATTTGGCCAAGGACTGTCACTCCAGCACCACTCCCCAAAAGCTCTTTGGGGAATTTGTATGCTGCTACAACAACAACAACAACAACAGCCCTACAAACCTTATGCGTCCCCACGACAGTCGGGTCTACGCAATCGGAACGACCCAGATTTATATCTGGCCAAGGACTGTCACTCCAGCACCACTCCCCAAAAGCTCTTTGGGGAATTTGTATGCTGCTACAACAACAACAACAACAACAGCCCTACAAACCTTATGCGTCCCCACGACAGTCGGGTCTACGCAATCGGAACGACCCAGATTTATATCTGGCCAAGGACTGTCACTCCAGCAACACTCCCCAAAAACGCTTTGGGGAACTTGTATGCTGCTACAACAACAACAACAACAACAGACCTTATGCGAAGTTGAAATCTCGCTTGCCTGACGACGCATTCGAGATCCCACACGTGTAGACCGCAATAAGTACGAAGCAATCTTTTTCTTGCATACCGAGCGGCTTGTGAGTTGTCAATCGCTTTCAACTGTCATTTTTGTTGTTTGACAGCTATTTTCTAACATTTTGGTGGCAAAAGCAAATTTGGAAGGTTCGAACCTTTTTATTTGGCGAAATATGCTGAAAAGTATGTTGTAAAGGGCCCCAGTCAACAAAACTCGAACTCGCTTGCAAAAAAAAAGTAGAACGTGAAGACGGCCGGTAATGGCTAGCTTTCGATTATTTCAGCCGATTAATCAAAAGGGGAACTGCGATACAAATCGAAAGAAAATTGAAGATATGTCATTACTAATTGAGATGTGTCAAAGCGAATTATTGATGTTGGATTATCTGTAAAAGGAAAAATAATTTCTACAAAAGATTTGTAATTGTTTTGTCTTTTAGCTTAGAACATCTTCCGCATTGAAAAAGAAAATGAGTAACACCAGCGCCAACATTACGAATGGTGGTATTACTCCACCTCAGGAAAAGCGTGACCTGCTTGCGCTTCTGAAGCTTATAAAGAAATACAACCTCAAGCAAACAGAGGAGCTTCTATGTCGCGAAGCCAATATCACAAATCAGGAATTGGAGGAAGTGAATGATATTGAAATAAACACACTTCTAACGTCAGCTCTCGTGGATGGACACGACCATCAAAATGGATTGGTAGCAAGTGGTAGTGGTGGATCCGGTAATGACCCAGAAATACATGAAGCGGCTTATGCAGATCTGCGTAATTTCGTCGAGGAGTCTCTAGATATTTATAAACATGAGTTGTCTATGGTTCTCTATCCAATACTGGTACAAATCTATATTAAACTTATTCAAGGAGGATTCGCAGAACAAGCCCGAAAATTTGTGGAGAAATGTGGCCCAGATTTAGATCATTACTACCGCGAAGATTTGCAAAATTTATTAATGATAACCAAAAGGTCTGATCTAGAAAATAACGATTTCGTGACCGCAATGGAGCTAGACAAGTTCGTTATTCGCATGTCACGGGATTCTCATTCGCTATTTAAACGACATATACAAGATCGAAAGCAGGAGGTGATAGCAGATATAGTCGCAAAATTTTTGCATTTTGATACCTACGAAGGAACTGCGCGCAGCAAGTCTCAATGCGATATCAATACTGGATCTTTAGTTGGCGAAGCAAAACGTCAAGATAATAAAATACGCGTTTACTATGGTCTATTAAAAGAAGTTGATTACCAAACGTTGACAACTCCTGCACCTGCGATGGTGGAAGAAGAAGATGATAATGATCCTGATGCACCCGACAAGCCTAAAAAGAAAAAACCCAAAAAAGATCCGCTTTTCTCCAAAAAATCAAAGTCCGATCCTAACGCACCTGCTAGTGATCGAATTCCACTGCCCGAAATGAAAGATGCCGATAAAATGGAAAAAGTAAAAGCTTTGCGTGAATCTTCCAAACGCGTACCACTAAATAAAGATTCACTTCCGTCAGTTTGTTTTTATACGATACTCAATGCACATAATACCGTTACATGTGCTGAAATTTCAGAAGACTCTACCATGATGGCTGTGGGTTTTACTGATTCCAGCATTAAAGTATGGTCCCTTACCCCAGCGAAATTGCGAGAAATGAAGAGCGCAGAGTTACTTAAAGATATAGACAAAGATGCTGAAGACATCAACACTCGCATGATGGATGATAGGACAGGCGAGGCATCCCGTACGTTCTATGGTCATAGCGGGCCGGTCTACCGCTGCGCCTTTGCCCCAGAAAAAAATTTATTGCTGTCCTGCTCCGAAGATACCACAATTCGTCTGTGGTCGTTCCATACGTGGACATGTGTTGTTGTTTATAAGGGTCATCTCTTCCCCGTTTGGGATGTTCGTTTCTCTCCACACGGTTATTATTTTGCGTCATGCTCATATGATAAGACGGCTCGACTTTGGACAACGGATTCGAATCAACCACTGCGGATTTTTTGCGGTCATCTATCGGATGTGGATTGCGTCCAGTTTCATCCTAATTCGAATTATATTGCCAGTGGTTCAAGTGACCGCACAGTTAGATTGTGGGATGTCCTAAACGGACAATTAGTGCGGCAAATGTGTGGTCACAAGGGGCCTATTTACTCCTTGGCATTCTCTACGTGTGGGCGTTATTTGGCATCTGGTTCTTCAGATCACACCGTCCTTATATGGGATTTGTCGCATGGCCAACTTGTAGCATCACTGTTACGACATACAGGTTCAATACATACGATGTCCTTCAGTCGGGATGGAAATATATTAGCTGTTGGTGGTTTAGACTGCGTGCTGACTTTGTGGGACTTTTCGAAACTCACTGAGGATTACTTGGCACAGACCGGAGCATCCTCACACAATCCTGACCTAAACGACAGTGAAACATACCTGCTCCGCTCATTTCCAACCAAATCCACTCCCTTCCTTGCGCTGCATTTTACACGCCGAAACTTATTATTAGCAGTTGGCATGTTCAAGTCATCCTAAAATGGCAGGTAGTGGTGGGGTGAATAGATTTAAGTGATTCGTTACATTAATACATATGAAGTATTCATTTTAATGTGTAATAAAGTGACTTTACATGGTAAAATGAAATATTCAATGCCTAATTTGCATATTCCATTTGTACACACTCTTCAGCAGCAACATGAGTGGGAGAAGAGCCGTCTACAATGTGATCATTTGATTCGCTATCTAAGGATGGCTCGTTGCTAAACATTTCTGTTGGCACAGTGGCAGGAGCACGATCTTGTACAAACTCCATGACATTTTGCCTCGATTGCAAATGACGTTCAACTTCCGCTGCGGTCATTTGTATTTGCCGCGGTTTCTCCACGTCAGAAACTGCGACTTGCTGAGGTTGCTGGACCCGTTCGGTATGTTGTTTGAGAGTTTGTGAAATTTCATTCGGTGGAACTTGTTGCAGTTTCTTTTTGCGTCCTCGAGTGGATCCAGTACTAGTTCCACCGCCATTCGCAGTAGCATTTTGTTCAAGCTTCCGCCTAAAAAAATTGTATAGAATAATCATTAATTATAAATTAGCTGCAATTACTTTTTTGCTTCCTTGCTGGCTTCATCTTCTGACGAGTCAGTTTCATCGCTTTCCGAAGACGTGTTTTCTGGTTTCTCATATTGTAGCAAACGATCTAGTAAGAAAGCACGATCTCTGGATACTTTTAACAATCTACGTTGGTTAGAACGTAGTGCATCTTGAAAGAATTCATTTTCCTGCAAATCGGTTGAAACACAAAAGTCAGACTTATTGTTTTTTTTTTTTTTTTAAATATACATATCTTTGTCCATATGGAAAAGTTGCCTATGTCGAAAGGCTGGCTTTAGTATAAATCGGCATTCGCGGCATGGGATTCCAGATGACTCACTGACGCTGAGCCGTTGAATAACGTTCAGAAAATAAACGCCCAAGAAATAGTTCCGATAATAACAAGTCAGTGTTCTTATTAAGTCTCATCAAAAAATTCCTTGTCGTTTAAAGAATAAAGGGAAAGCCGCATTATACTAAAGCCGGCTTTTCGACATGAGGTACTTTTCCATATACTCACATATATCAAAAATTTGAGTTTGCGTTTTAGATAACGGTATTGTGTTTTATAATCTACGGCATTAGTGGCACCTGAACTATTTCCGCCGCCATTGCCACTTCCACCTCCAATGCCTAAAGCTGACTGAGTGCGCTGTTGCTCATGGCTATCATCATCTGATCCGGAATCTTCATCCACATTGGGATCTGTCTCATCGGCTGGAGTGGCTTGTTGGTTCGCCATGGAGCGACAGTACCAACCAGAAAGCATATCCTTTAAATGAGAAATAAAACAATAAGTCTATACATACATGTAATTCCTGCGCACCACCACAATGACCAATGTTTAATTTAAATGTTTAGAAAATTCATCGGCTAACCGCACTCCATACTAGACAGGGGATTAACCAGAAAACAAGCTGTCTTCTTTGAGAAATCCACTAATATCAATAAAAAAAGCTAAACATGCAAATAAGGGGTAACTCACCGTGGTTTGCGACGTTATAATGATAAACAAATTTTCACATAAAAAAAAATTGTTTTGACATCTTTTATTGTCCACTGAACTACATTATCGGCTCTTTAGGGTTGCTTTCAAACGTCGTTAGGTCTGTTCATGTATTCTCCAATTTTAAATTATACAGCAACCTGCCAGTAGGAATGTTCGATGTTTAAGAAAGTATCGATATCATGAATCGATTTAATTCATTGCATGAAAATCGATATGGCAATATATCGGGCCGAACAATATCGATATCGGAAAAATCGATGTTGAAACAATTGAATAGAATATTAGACCAGGGCTCGAATCGTAACATCAGTTCACGGATCGAAAACCATACGAAAGAAAATTACGTGATACGTCAGGCAGTATAAACTGAATGGGACAAAGAGTACGTTCACGTATGTCATAATGCGAAAAATGTATTTTTACGTGACGAGTAATACGATAACGTATGTTACGATTCGAGCCCTGCTTATCAACTCAACTAATTGTGTTATTTCCATCTTGTATATTTACTGAGGACTAAAACGAACGGTTTATCAAACTTAAGAGCTAAATAAATCAAACAAGCTGATCATTAAACCTACGTTAGTATTTTTCCATACCTTCTTTGTAGATGAAAAATAAATTTCAACTTAAATATCGATATTGCGGGTAAAGTATCGATGTGCGATGAAATATCGATATTCAGAAAAATCGATACGATATCAAGCATTCCTACCTGCCAATCCGCGGATTGAAAGAAATGAATGGAGAGAAAAATGTCACAAAGAAATAGAGGTGTCAGACTATCGATAGGCACACCATCGATAGTTTTGATAGTTTTCAGAAAAACTATCAATATTCACGATAGTCTCGAAAAAAAACAAAACTATCGATAGCACTATCGATAGCGCTATCGACAACGCTAAATCAGTTAGGTTTCTTTGTTTTTACAGGATCATAGTGAAATAAATATTATCTCATAAAAGTTATATTCATTCAAAATTAAGTAACTGCTTAGCCAAAATACTTCTCTTTTTAGAAAGCTCAAAAACAAACACAAGTTATACAAACAAAACAGGATTTACGAATAACACATGTATGTATGTTGGCCTAAATGAGTGCATATTTGAATATGACTAAAAAACTAAATTTTTAATTCAAATTAAAAAATGCAGGTATTACCAACAATAGTTCGATAGTCCTACTAAACTATCGATATTTTTGATAGTATAAAAAAAAACTATCAATGAGTATTGATAGTCTAAAAAAATTGAAACTATCGATACTATCGATAGTGCCATCGATAGTTTGACAACTCTACAAAGAAAGACATGAACGCTAAACCAGTAACTATTTGCAGACTTTATGAGCAGCTAATTTGTAATTTTTCGAAGCAACTTCCTAATAAAAACAATATTTCCTACCTATACATTTACAAAAGGTTTATAAATTGAAGAATGTATGAAAACACCAATTTGTAAAGCTTTTTAAACCTACATTATTTTTTATGAAAAAGAACATTATTTCATTAACTTCAACTAATAAAAGCCCCACAATTACTTGATTACTTTGAATTACACCATGCAGCATGTCTTCAGATGTTTTTTTTACTGTCAAATTGTTGCAAGTTAAATTCGACTATCCAGTAATATTTGTAACTTCCTCTCCAAGCGGAATATAATTTCTCTCAATTGCCCGGATACACGCCGATGTCAAAGAGAAAATTACACATAATAACACACATAAATGTAATATCATATAATTTAATATAATGAATGTATAACATAAATTGCAATCAGCTGCATATTTGCGTTTTTTTTTCAAATACGAGGCATGTAATAAAAGCGGCAATACTGCAGCAGTGATGAAAATTTACATCACTTTGCAAGTGCCCAACTGATAAAACGTTGTTAGAAATACACAACCCTATCGTGTAACAGGCGCCGAAGTATTTTTAAAACTAATACGCTCCTTATATTAAGTGTTTTGTATTAAGTTTAATTATTATTTTTTAAATGAACCTTGTATGAATGCTGGGAGCGAATATTAAAAAAAAATGTTTACTTTAAAAGTAAAATGCATATGTTAACGACAAAAAAAAAAAAAAAAAAAATACTTTATTTCTAAAATTTATTATTAATTTATATTATATATTCATATGCTTATAAACAAGGTGCCGATTCGATTCTATTACGTTTTCTTTTCATGCGTTTTACAAGGAAAAATATGCGTTTTGTTAGCTTTGTTAAGTTAATTTTGCTTGTTGGGAATGTATATATACATGTCGACGCCTCCAAACCATACTATCTAAGTCTTAATTCCTTTGTTTTTTGCTAAATTTTCAAACTATATTTGAAGGAACAAAAATGTGAGATAGGGCATTTCTATATTAAGGTAAGGATATTTATTTATTACTGAAGTCGAGTAGAGGATATGTACATATACACACATACATATATTACACATGTTGGCCACATATACATATATGCATACAATTCGTCGAACTGATGGTTTTGAAGATATCACAAAAACACATTACTTATGTATGTGGAAAGAGTTGTAAGTTTATTTCATAAATGCACACATTGAGGGTGACATAGTTTCAGAGGAGTTCAAAGTGTATCGCCTCACATCTATTTTTAAAAATACGTTACATAAAAATTTATATGTATTAAATGAATTCATATATTCTTCTGTCCATTTGGATTCGATTCCATTACTCCGCAGATTTGTTATACACATAACGTCATAACTATCCCTTTCGAATTTACTGCAACTCTATATGAAATTATCGTATCCAAATACTTTTCGTTTTAACATTTCAAAAAAATTAAAAAAAAAATTTCATGGTACAGTTTGGGAAAAAATACATCACTAACTTATAAAAGTAGGGATGAATTCAAAATTATTCATCGTTTATAAAAATTAAAATGTGGAATCTTACAAATAATATAACTTTTTCTCAAGTGCATTTTGAGGAGGTTGATAGAGACTTGTGGCCACTAAAGTTGCAAGTTTTTTAGCGTATTGACATACAGCTGGCACTCGTGTAGTACCGGACCAATTGTAATATAAGTGGGTCATTTTGTATGTCAAAAGCTGCATCTGATCCGGTGTTAAACGTATGTTACTGTATACAATATTGTAGCTGGTAGGCGAAACTGTTCCTTGTCGCACAGACTGGGATACGAGGAAAAAGTCATAACGTTCTGGCAATGTTACTACATCATCGACGACTGTACCAGGAGGTGGGTTCCGTCCTCGAGCGAACAGACGGGTGTTAATATTTTTAGATACCACAACATATGCAAACATTGGGGGTTTCTCAGAGCCAACACGCTTATATTCTTGCTCAAGTTTTTCAACTACATCTTTAACCTCGTGCTCGTAAACTTGTCTCAAAGACCCTTCTCCTACTCCATCACGATAGAATAAAATACGTGTTGGTAATTTCCCATCGTGTTCCTTGCGGTATTGACGTAAAGCTTTTGTCATCATCGGCCAAAGGCTGTTTGCCAAGACATCGTGGGAATGGCATTCTGCCACTGTGCTGTAGAAAGTGGCATTTGTTTTCATATCCATCGATGCTACTAAAGCCCCAAAAGCCTTTGATCGATCACGTGTACTTTTAGCGACATCATAACCGATTGTCATTAAACCGGAAAGTGGTAAATCAATCATCCATGGTGTATATCCCAATTTGCAATTTATTTGTATTGCTACCTTTGTGGCTATACTCATAAGACCGCGTTGGTTATTTGCCGACTTTTGTGTTATTACCTGNAGTACTTTTAGCGACATCATAACCGATTGTCATTAAACCGGAAAGTGGCAAATCAATCATCCATGGTGTATATCCCAATTTGCAATTTATTTGTATTGCTACCTTTGTGGCAATACTCATAAGACCGCGTTGGTTATTTGCCGACTTTTGTGTTATTACCTGAGTGGGTATAGCTCTTTCCAAGCATCCTTTCTTTTTAATAGAAGCATAACGCTCGGCATTATTATTTGGTACTAAACATAGTATTAACTGAGGATCTTGACGGCTGCAGTCCTCCATTGCTTGAATGTACGAGTGATTCCTGTCGTCATATAACATTACTTCTCTGGGCCGATTGATTCGCATTTGCATGCCACTTGCAGCCCGAATTAGAGATTCTACGAAATTCCTTAGCTCTCTAGAGTTACGGTTTGTGGCTATTACAGACCATCGGTCAAGTCCACGGGATGGAGTTGTAAACAATCCATTATCGCGGAAAAGACGTGTCCAATCAGCTTGTTCACCGGCTGAAGCTTTTTTGTGTTCGCTAAATACAATACGTTGCGGCTCCAGAACGCGACCATTCAGGTCAACCAAGTGGCGATCTAAAGTCATATTCCAACCATTGAGTACTTCTACACTAGCGTCGGTCTGCTGTAGTCTTTGATTGAAAATTCGTAAACGGTCAATGCGACGATCGGGATTCATACGCGTGTGATCTGCCATAGCTCTCATAAGTTGGAAATTATTGCGCATGTTTTCAGTTAGGCCAGTCGGCCGGCATAGTTCGGGAATGAGTATAATTATGTCACTACTGCCACCTCTCATAGCCCTCTCTTTAGCCTTAGATATGAGCAAAGGTTGCTTTGGATCGCGGATGCGAATGTGATATTTTTGGTAATAGTAGTCAATGAAAGATACCTCTTTCTCTTTACATTTAAATGTCTTTGATGGATTTTTGCTAAAATCAATGTCGTTAATGCGATAGGTCTTATTATTATAGTCGGTTAAAACTGTGAGACCTAGCACATGTCGTCTAAATTCCTCTTGGTAATCCTTTGCAGTTTCTGTGCACCTCATCAAAATATCATAAACAGTTTCAGTACGCATTACTTTATGAGCGATTTCGGCACACAACAAAATGTCTCTTTCATGTTGGCGTATTGATGTTTGATATCCCGGCCAGAGCTGCAAACGGTACTCTCGCATATCAATTTTTGCCATCGCATCATAAAAGTTTCTTCCGACTAACTGTAATTTGAGACCTTCCATGGCACGACGCAAAATTAAGTTCAAAATCTGCAGCGACTGCCATTCTGTCATAGAAATAACACCGACATAT